AACTATTTCACCCCACCTATGGCATTCAAGATAAGAACAGTACCAATCCATAGACAAGGGTCAGGCAGTCTGACAGGACTCTGATTTCTGCCACGATGGCTTTTAAAAATGAAATAACAAATTATTTTGGAAAAAAAACTTTTGGGTGTCCCTATTTTGCTGGTTCCCTTGGTACTTACTGGCTTAGTTTGTCTTTGGGTAACTCAGCAAAAGATACGCCCATATGCCCGTCCTACTCCACCTTTAGTCCTGCAGAGCGGCCTAATCTCCATGTTGGTGGCATGTCATGTCGCCCAGTCCTCCCTCCTGCGGTGGCTGATTTGACAAGAAGAGGCCATCTCACCCAGCTTAGACTAATCAGAGCTTTTTTCCCAGGAAATGGAATTTGGACACAAAATTCCCTGAGAAACAAAAGACTGATTAATAGGTATTAGGTGCTGGAGCCAAGAGGCTTGTGTGAAGTCAGGGCTGGGGCAGCCCTTTTCCCCCCAGTATATACCCTGCTCAAAGGTTGGCCACACACAAAGCCCTGCCCTCACATCTTCCTTGTTAAGAAAATCCTGATCTGTGTTCCAGAATTGGGTGGGAAACACCGAATCGTATAGAAATTGCGCCCACCCAAGATCTTGGGATGGCTGATGAGATGTGGGGGGGAGTTTGCTGGCAAATTTAGGGACATAGGAGCTGGCTGGACGTACAGTGCACAGAGCCCGTGTGCTGAAGTGCCTGGGCCCAGGGGCGGGGCATTGGAGTTCTGTTCCTGATGCAAAGGCACAAGCCCTCCGGAAGAGATGTGGGCTGCCTACCAGCCTTCAACAAACTGCAGGTCTGCCTAATCAGCTCAAGAGGATTGCCATTTACAACCATCATATATCAAGATAGCAGGAGTTATCAGCATTTTGTTCCAGATTCCTCCCCAGTGGGATCCTAGACATGCCCCTCTTTCGCTTCCCTTCCACTGAAGCCAGAATCACGGGTTATAATCTCAGCTCTCAGCGGCTGCGGACTTCTGAGATAAGGAGCGATCAGGAACCTACACATCCCTCAGAAGGTAGTGTGGCCTCAAACAGCAAGAGCAAGAAAAATGTTTACACCCTTCAGCCCAGGAAACCTCAATCTGGAGAATCATTCTAAGAAAAAAAAATAATAAAAAAAATCCATAGACACAAAGATGCCCATTGCAACGTTCTCTCTACCAGGCAAGTGGAAATAAGTCAAGACCAACAGAATAAGCAGGTGGAATGAAAGAAGCCAGACCCCAAATTGCTCATACTGAAGGATGTTGTTTATGAAAAATACAAAGTTGTGGAGAGTGAACCTGCGCTACTGGAAGTCAGAATACTGGTGATCTGAGGGTGGGGAGCTGGAGCACGGGGAGCTCGAAGGGGAGTCAGGGGGCATCCAGGGGGCGGGGGATGTTCTGTTTCTACCTGGTTCCATAGATAAGCTCGCTTGTGACAATTCATCCAACAGCACTTCTGATATGTAGCCTTTATATATGTATATGGTACTTCCACAAAGCAGCGCTCTACAAAGATGAAGAAGAGAAGGATTTTTAAAGTAAACTGTGGCATGTCTATTAATGAGACCTTCTGAAGTGTTGAAAAATAGCTACACAAATAACCACCTCTGTGGAGAATATGTATAGTACCCCTGTATTGTTCTGCCTACCCCACCCCCATCCATTCTCCACCCTTCTCTGCTTGCCTTGTGTCCCCAGAAGTGGATTATGGTCCCCATAGCCCACAGGCTCCCTTGCCTTCTAGATTCCGGTTGGGTTTAGTCAATAGGAGGGACCATCAGGAGATCAAGAGGCAGGGGGAGACAGAGGTGGGGCATTTCTTTCAAACTCCCCCCTTCCTTCTGCATGGAGGCATGGTGTCCCTTGACATGGTGGCTGCATGCCTCGACAGCTACGGCTCCTGCTCAAGTGGCCTTCTCCCCAGCTCCCGCCCGCCCTCACTGGACTTCAGTCACACTTGCTCCTTCCCACTTCCCCTGTGGTAATGGCTTCCCTCTGTTGCTAATCTCTCGGTGCCTCAGCCTCCCTTCTGATCAGGTAACCCTGCCCACACTCTGAGAGAAGGCCCTTCTTTAAAGTCCCTGGACCCATCTGAGCTGGGTTCAGTTTTCTTCTGGGGCCTGACTGTCACAGCCCTTCCCCACCTTCCCCTGTGACGAGCATGTGACCTTCCTGGGCTCAATGCTGCAGACACTATGCCCTCCGGTGGGGCTGGGAACCAGCCTGGGAGTGAAGCCAGCATTCATTTCAATTTGGCACCAGAAGCGGGGCCAAATGCATCCATCTTTTTAAAAAAGTAAATAACTGGACCCTCTCTGCGCCCCATATATGCTATCTTCCTCTCCCTGTCATGATCTCCAACCCCACAGAAGAGGCTATGAATTGGTAAAGCACAATAAGCTAGGGATAAAGAGGGAAAGAGAAGTTTCTGGAAACTCCTAAAACCCTTGTAATTTCCTAAGTGATAAGAGCACGAGGAGCATCTTTTGTTCTACTATTTGGTCTTTGATCCAGATTCCTGACACAGGGCTCCTAAGTCCTTTGGAATTTCCTGGGTGATAGTAGGATCTTTTGTCCTAATGAGGTGACTCTTGGTGGGCTCCTGGATGGGGGCTGGTCACCAGACAGACCAAGCCATGACTAGAAGCTTGGCATTTTCAGCCCCACCCCCCATTCTCCAGAGAGGGGACAGGGGCTGGAAACTGAATTAATGATGGGTCCTGCCCAGGTGATGAAGCCTCCATTAAAATCCCCAAAGTATGGAGTTCAAAGAGCTTCTGGGTGGGACCACGTGGAGGTACTGGGAGGGTGACACGCGTGGATTGTACATGGAAGCACTTTTCTCGGACCTTGCCCTGTGCATCCCTTCCATCTGGCTGTTCCTGAGATATAGCCTTTATTGTATAATAAACTGGTAAAATTAAGTCAGTGTTTTCCTGAGTTCTGTGAGCTGTTCTAGCAAATAATCCAATCCCAAAGGGAGGAGGTCATAGGAATCTCGAATTCTAGCCAAATCAGATAGAAGTTGCAGAAGTTGTGCATAATCTGGGGACCACCTCCTTGTGGTTGGCATCTGAAGTGTGGGGGGGGGCAGTCTCATGGGACGGTGGTATCTGATGCTATCTCCAGGTTGATAGTGTCAGCCTTGAGTTGAATGATAGGACACCCAGCTGGTGTCTCAGAGAATTGCTTGGTGTTGGAAAAACCCACACAACCTGCAGTCAGAAGTGTTGAGTGTGGTAGTCGTGTGAGAGTAAAGGAGACACACAGGAGAAGCGAGTTTTTCCTAAACGCACCCTGTGTGCTGGGCCTCCTCTTTCTAAGGATCTGAGAGTATAAACCTCTTCCTTCATCACAGGCATCTCCCTGTCTGTCTTACCGCACCTGATTAAAACACATCCCGGGTACCCTTAAAACAGGCACCTAGCATGGTACCTGATACCAAGGTGCCTGAGTGCCTCAGCTGCCATTAATATTATGCAGAAGATACAAAAGACACGGTTCATATCTCTAAGGGCTTATATTCTAATTGGCAAAAATCAACATTTGCTGGGACAAGACTCAAATGGCCATTGTCCCAAGCACAGTCCAGTGTCCTCTGTACATTGAGGGGTGCTGCAGCCCTCGGAGAGCCCAGACTCACGGGATCCCAGATCCTGGGCCTTTTTTCCCCTCCTGGGAACGTTCTAGGGTCAGAATTCTGAGCCAGGCTGGGCTGAGCATTGCGCAGGGCAGAGGCAGCTAGGAGAGAACCAAGAACCAAGGCCAGCAGTAGGAGTGGCCAAAGGAGTGGGCTCATGGGGCAGAACTTTGGGAAGGTTCATTAGGATTGCTGAGCTCCAGGACTGGGCTGCCCTACAGAGAACCTGCAACCTTGAGTGGGAGGCAGGATTAGCCAGTTAAAGGGGCTGAATCCATTCAAAGACCTGGTTTTCCCTGTTCCTCCCCTCTCAGGTGTCGAAGAATAAGAGCTAGAAGGGACACTCCCCAGAGTACAGAGTTGATGAATTTGGACTTCAGTCTGACAGACGCGGGTGTAAATCTTGGCTTTGCTTCTTACAGCTCTGTAGCCTTAGGCAAGTCATGTCCCTTCTCTGAGCCTCAGTTTCTTCTCTGAAAAACAAGGGTAATAGATACCTATCTCATGGTGTTAGGCAAAACGGGTTCTCGTGCTGGATGTGACTGACGCCATCTTAAGAAACAAGTTGCTCTCGGTGATCACCGGTTCACCCTGGGAGGAGTAGGTTGTATCACCTGACAAGAATGTTCTTACGTAGGAAAGTAGGCCAATTAAGTTTCTTACTGCCTGGAATA